AGTAGATACGATCGCGATACACAGACGAATACTTTCTTACAAGTGTGAAGATCAACAGAAATTCAGAAAAGCAAAATGGAGCTTAGAAGCCCAGCGTGCAGGTATTTTGGAAGTCAGTGACTCTTCTCCTTCCCAGGGGTCTCTCATAGCTGAGGAGCGTTTCCTTACATGTTGGGAATAGTTTACACCTGAGGTAAAAATGTGCCGGCTTGATTTTTAAAAATAAATAAGCACCATATTAGAAGTATAGACCAATGTGGAGATTAAGTCCCACCCCTCTAGAGTTGTATAATGAAAGAAAAGCAACCCCCAGACCCTGAACTTGAGAACAGCACTAAGAAATCGCAGAGGGCCACAAAGGGGAAAGCCCTGAACGAACCCACACAGAGGCCCCTCAGCACAAAGGCCTGGGGATCTACGCCCAGTAGGAAAGCCCTCCAGCACACAGATCTCTGTACATCTGTGGGTGCATGAGTTGGAATCAACTGGTTCGGGTGGAAGGAGCCCTGGTGGGGGAGTGGGCTACACATTGGGTCGATAACAGGAAGGTCAACAGTTTGAAACCACCAGCCACTCCATGAGAAGAAGATGCGGCTTTCTATTTCCATTCCAGTCTCAGAAACCCACAGGGGCAGTTCAACCCTGTCCTGTGGTGTCACTATGATTCAGACTTGACTCAGTGGCTGTCTGAATCTTGATCCTTCTGGAAGTCTCTGAGAAACCTTGCACATGCCTCAGATTTGTCCCAGTTTGGTTTTTCGGTTTGATATGTGTGGATTGTTTGGGTATTCTAAGGAGGAGGACTTTAATCATAAAGCAAATCCGACTTGTCTCTGATGCGTCCTTTCTTTGTCCCACTGGATTGACAGCCTTCGGGACCTCCATTTGTTTCACAGAACTTGTAACTAGTAATGAAAAACCACCACAACAAACACACCCCTGCTGTGTTCTTGCAGACAATGGATTCTACGGAGCGTCATAGAAATACACCCATACTTGATGAGCCTGATACTTCAGAAGGAAGGCCTTTGTGCCGATTTTCAAGGGGAATGGCACTAGAAGGTAAACGCGTTGACTGAATAGATCTTGTTGCTGCTTCACCCCCACATCTCCTTAGCTCCTTCTTAGTTCACCTGCAGCTGGGGGTGGGGCTGGGGCCACTTCCCATGTCAAGTATGTGCATCTCTATGCGTCTCAACTTGAAGGCTTTGTCCCAGGCCTCAAGAGCTTGTTGACTTTCTGTCACTTCTAGGTAGAGCCCCAGAGAACTACCCCTCACCAAAGAGAGATGAGAATCAAGGGGTTCATGGCCAACTCCTTGTGCACTTTGGGACAAATCTGAGGCATGTGCAAGGTTTCTCAGAGACTTCCAGAAGGATCAAGCCTCAGTTGCTCCGAATCAGCTCATCTCTCATTGCCTTTTCCCTTCCGGCTCTCACTTCTTGTCCTCTCTGGGCTTCTCCAGATCCCCACATTCGAGCCCCTGTCGCAGAGTCTGTTTGGGAGATCCCAAAGGAGACACTCTCATCACTTTGATGACTTGTCTCCGTGGCCTTTCGCAAGGGCTGCCTGTGAGAGGCGGAGGAGGTGGTCAACGTCTCGTCCATCCTTGTTGGGCGGGTCTCTGTCTCGCCCCTTTCTGCTCTACCTTTTCCTCCTCTTGCTTTGTTTCAAACATCGCATCAAGTGCAAGATACCCACTCTGTTTCCTAACCTCAAGCCTTTAGCCTCGCTCAGGGGTGAGTTGGAACTTCTGCTAGAGAGCGTAAACGTACGACCCAAATCAGAATGGGGCCGCTTTTCAAAAGGCAGCACCAGGCTGTGTCCCACATCGCCCAGTGGTGCAACAGATGAGGGAGAAGGAGGCGACTGTGCCCCCCGAGATGCTGAGCACGTTCAGCCGAAGTCCCACGCTCACAGATGATTTACCCGCCTGCCTTCTACATTGGCATTCTCACCATGGCGTGCAGGCACCCGGCAGGTATTTTTAGTCTAATCAGAAAGGATCCCTGTGGTGTAGTGGTGACAAGTTGAGCTGCCCAGCACCAGGTTGGCAGTTCAAACCCACCAGCTTTGCTGCAGTCTCAGAAACCCGCAGGGCTGTTGTTCCCTGTCCTACAGGGTCACTGTCTGTGGGAGCTTACAGCTCTTCATTGTAGTCTCTGAGAATCCTTTTTCGTTTTATAAAGTTAATAGTAATGTCCCTGTTCTTCATTTATTTCTCATTGTAGCAATTACTGTGTTCTTTCTTAATGATGCTGACTAAATATTTATCAGTTTTGTTCATCTTTTCAAATAACTTTTTGTTCTCTTTTTTCCTCTTATACCCCCAATATTACTCTTCTCTGTTCTGATATTCATTATTTCTGTCCTAGCCTAAAAAATAGTTGGTTGAGTTTTTGGTGAAAGTTTACATTAGGTTCCCATTTAACGATTTCTCAACGTATTGTTCAACGGCTGGTGGTTTCAAAATGCTAACCTTGCAGTTAGCAGCCCAAGGAAAACTCGTGCTAACCCCGTGTACAGCAGAATGAAGCACTGCCTAGTGCTGTGCCCAGCTGGATGCGCCCCAAAAATCCCATCACACTGCCGCCTCGTCCATCCCCACTCACAGTGGCCCTAGAGGACAGGGAGGGGCAGTTCCTGCGTGTCCGAGACTGGAACTCTCCATGGGAGTAGAAGGCCTGGTGTTCTCCTGCCTGTGTGACTAGTACCTGTTTAATATTTAACATAACTTCAAGAACATTAACAATGATCAAGAAAACATAAGGCACCAATGATTATCCCTTTAACAATTATCCTTTGCTGATTCCTACATTCTGAAGCTAAAGTGTATGGATTTTTGTATTTGTGTATATTTGAGGATAGCTTGAGTACTTTTTCTAATTAAATACAGTTTTATTTAACCAGCCTGTGTCCTCG